AGTAGTTACGTTTATTAATTTAGTTAGTACGTAACTAACAACTAATAATAAGTAAAGTAAGTATTATTATATATATATATATATATATATATATATATATATATGTGTGTGTATATGTGATTTAGGACATATTATATGCAACATTTGTGAAACTCTTAATGCTGTTTAACAGCAAATTGTTTTATCACTAATTTCTTGGATAAGTATGACACCAGTGCAAGAAAATCTCTGTATTATTCTCCTACATAGCAGCATTGACAACTGATTTTTCCACCATCACCAGCTGAGCACCATTTTTTTAGTTCAATGTCAAAGATAGATGACTTACATTTACAATTTCAATTTAATAATTTCATCATTCATGTCCCGCATGTCAAAACTCGTAATAAATGTGAAAAATGAGGGCCAAGTCTTTTAAAGTTTTAGGGATTTCCAGAAAGAAAATATTTATAAACTAAAGTTTTAGCAATTTTGTGAAGTGTATGATCTTTGATTAAGAACTTCTGATCAAAAATGAGCTAATTATATAAATCAGAATTAAAATAATTTAAAAAGTACCTTATAAATTATGACATAATTGTATGTAACATACTGTCTAGAAATGCTTATATTTCATAAGTCAGTATGCTGAAAACTAAAACCTATCATGTTTGTCTATGATCTGTTGTTTACTATCTTCAGTCACATTTTAGCTCTTAGTAAACTGGTAAGATGGACAAATCTTAGACTGGTGATCTTGTCCCATGAGGAAATTTGGATTTAATAGTAAAGTAAGATATACATAATGTTTAGTGTACAGATTAAATGGTCAATATATAGTTGAAAAATGTGATTTTGTTTCTCAAGCAAGTGCTGTAAAAACTAAAGCATGATAGAATCAGTTAGTTGCACAAAAATTCTAGTACTTGTTTCACCATTCACTAGTGTTGATGCTAGGTTTTTAATTTTGGATTTTTATTTTTGGAATATTTTAACACTTAAGTGTGATTGAATTCTTCACATACAATTTTTTTCTAATAGTAAATAACACAACTGTTTTAATTCTTCATTGTTTTAGCTGTAACATGAAACGAGTTGATTTAAAAATTGTGCTGCTTGGAAAGGAGTATGGTGGTAAGACAAGTTTGTTGGAACGATATCTATATGATCATTTCCATGGTGATCTTCCGTACCAGAATGTAAGTAACCTCTGTAACATTTAATTTGATTATCAGTTTTGGTGAAAAAAATAACTTAACATTCTGTGTGAAAACTTTTTGTAAAAATTGTTTTCAAATACTTATCTATCTGTCCAATGAAAAAATAATACATAAATCATAATTATACTGAGACAAATAATTAATTGTAAATATTATGCAAAATTTTTTACCTGTTTTGAAACTGTTTTAGTTGTGTGCCAGAAAGAATGAATTAATTTGAAAGAATCTATCATATATTGTGTTATATATCTCTGATATTATTTATGTAATAGATTTAGACAGATGTTATAATTCTTAAAATATTATGAGAAAGCACAGAAGCAAATTAACACCAAGTATTTTGCACATATTTTTTCATAAAGTTAAAATTGTTAAATAAAAATGTTTTTGTTCTCAGCATTTTCTTTTCCAGTTTTGTAGAAACTTAACTACATCTGATTGAAATAACTCAGTGTTTCATATTCATATTAGAGGAATGATATTTCACCTGTGTGTTTAATAATACAGGCCTGTGATTGATTTGTTGTCTTGACATTTTTACATGTTCTACAGTAATTACTGTATGCTGAATCTGAAAATATCTATTTTTCTCCATTATGTACAGATTTTTCACAAAACGTCACATGTACTTTTACATAAGTGAATCATTTTCATTGAAATCAGATCACGTTTTGTTATGCTTAAAATGTTGAAAACCACTGGCTATAGATTTCTCTACACCAATTGCGACATGAAAGTCTTATCGATCATTCTAGAACTCATGAGAAACACTGCTAGTATATAAACAGTTAACAAGCCGCATGACGTGTAATTTCTGGATATTATTTGTATGTGCATGCACTTTGACATTATTTATTTGTCCCTATGGCAACAAGAGGATTTGTAAATGACCCAAACCTATTCTGTTATATTTGTATTCAATTTGTTGTAAAGAAACAAAGGCAAAACATTACAAAATTCATCAAAAGTGTGTTACATGTATTTTGGAATAAAATTTAGTGACCAAGACAAATCATGGGCTCTGCACAAAGTTTGCACTGTTTGTGTTAAAGAGTTGAGACAATGGACTAAAGGTAAGAAAAAGTCTTTGCATTTTGGAATTCCAATGGTCCAGCATGAGCCTAGAAACCATGGAGATGAGTGCTATTTTTGATCCTGTAACGTGCAAGACTACAACACTCGAAATGAATAAGAAATTTCTTATCCGAACCTTCAATCTGCTATAAGACCTGTTGCTCATGGACCTGATGTACCTGTACCTACTCCACTGGAGACTCTTGATACAGTTTCATCTGATTCTGAATCTGATGTCAATAGAAATTATGATAGGGATTGTTTTCAACCTGAAACATCTGGTGAACCACAACTTTTTACATAAAGTGAACTTAAAATGATTTTGTGAGAGATTTGGGCCTTCCAAAGGATTCTTCAGAAATTTTAGGGTCCAGACTTCGGGCTAAGAACTTACTTTCTCCAG